TACTGGTCCAGGTGAGAAATGATAAGAGCTTGGACAAGTAGTGGTGGAAGCAGTGAGTTGCTGAATTTGAAATATAGTTTTAAGATAGAACTCATAGGATCAGCTGAAAGTCTAGATGTTGCGTGTGAGAAGGAAAAATAAAGAAGTCAAGAATGTTCTTCAGGGTTTTGGCCTGAGTAACTGGAGAACTGGAGTCGCCATTCACTCCAATCAGGAAAGCAGAGAGAAGAGCAGGTTTGTGAGGTCAAATCAAGAGTTTTGTTTCAGGCATGTTAAGTCTTAGATATTGTTAGGATAGGCACTAATAAGAGAACACTATTTCATCCCTAGATTCTGGGAAAAAGATACAAAAAAGATGATTCTTATTTTTAAGGTCTCATGGAAGGGGATAGAGAAAGAGGCATATAAGTCAGTTTTTTTTGTTTGTTTGTTTTTTTTAATTAATGAATTTTATTTTGAAGGGAGCAGCTTTAACTTCACAGAAAATTTGAGCAGAAAGTACATAGAGTTCCCATATAGCCCCTCAATTTTCCTATTATTAACATCATGCATTAATGTAGTACACTTGTGACAACTGATGAACCTACATTGATTGACACATCGTAGTCACCCAAACTCCAGAGTTTACCCTAAGGTTCACTCTTGGTCTTGCACATTTTATGAGTTTGCACAAATGTATAACACGTATCCATAATTACAGTATCACATGGAATAGTTTCACTGCCCTAAAAACCCTCTGTGCTCTGCCTATTCATCCCTCTTCCCCTCTCTCATCCCCTACTCCCTAACGACCAGTGTTTTTGCTGTTTCCATAGTTTTATCTTTTGCCGAATGTCATATAGTTGGAATCAGACAGTGTATATCCTTTCCATATTGGCTTCTTTCACTTAGTAATATGCATTTAAGGGTCCTTCATGTCTTTTCATGGCTTAATAATACATTTACTTTTAGTGATGAATAATATTCCATTGTCTGGATGTACCACAATTTATCTATTCACCTACCAAAAGACATCTTGGTTGCTTCTAAGTTTTGGCAATTATAAATAAAGCTGCTATAAACATTTGTGTGCGTGTGCAGGTTTTTGTGTGGATGCAGGTCTTCAACTCATTTGGATAAATGCCAGACACCTGCCAATAGGGAATACATGCTATTGTTTGCAGGAAGCAATGCTCTAATATTGTAAATGTCCTTCTTTCTCTGTGCAGCAATTATTTGGACATTATCAGCAGGATACCCCTTCTAGGCTCATTTCCAGGAGGACAGCAACTGAATACTGATAACTAAAGTGTTCACGCTGAGTCACATCCTCTTTTTCAAAAAACCGTAAGCAAGTGTCAATCTGAAAATGAGGTAATGAACAATGTTTTACAAATGATGGTCTATGCTCTCTTAGCAGGGCTCTTTCCTAACTTCAGAGACTCTACAGTCCAGCAGAGCCAACTCAGAAAAAATCCATCAAGCTCTCTAGAAAGAAAAAAAGCTATTGAAGCTCTAGGGTGTTTATTAATATGGGATTCTTAGATGGATTAAGCAGATACACGGCTCCTTGAAAGTGATGCAAATGTTGTATTTCAGTGTACTTTTCTGAGGGGGAAGGGGTCCATAAGTACTTATCACAGTCTCGAAAATGAGTCTAAGACCCAGGAGACAGCCAAAGGAGCTGCCAGACATTGGGTGTGGTAGAAAGGGGAAGAAGAATCTGACGTCTCCTGAATCATCAGAAGAACTATAGTGTGAAAACTACACCATGTCTGCTTTCATATTGGTTCTCCTCCTATTCTTAAGAGATGGTGTGGGCCACAGGTGGAATCACAAAGAACAAGCTTTTTCAAGCCAGAGGCTCTAATTCCTTCTTAGCAGAGGGGAGGATAAGAGGAAAGCAGTCCTTTCAGAGTGCAGGAATAGTGCCACTAATTATTAGGGTGCTTTAACAAGAAATACAGCTGGGCCTTAGAAGAAACTAAAAATCTTCACCCTTACTCTTCCAAGCAGTCATTGTAATATTTTAGCATTTGCCTTTAGTAATTTGAAAAGGAAGAGATGTGAAGCGGTGGAGGCAAAGCTCTTTTGAACTAAACTAAGAATCGTGTATTCTCATCAAAACTGTCCATACTGCATGCATTCAACAAAGTTAATCGAATGCTTATTACAAGCCACACAGTGTTCTATCTGCTGTACTTATAATAATTCTAAGTCTCCTATATATGCATCATTTACAAGTGCCATGTGATCTTTCTGTATAGTAAAAAATCTGCTTTCCTAATTTACTAATCTTTTTTGCAAATAACAGAGGCCATTGACTTTCATGTTTTCAGCCTCAAAATGAAGCGGGGAGTTACAGAAATATATGGATGAGGCGGGCCCAGAAACCAAAGTATTTTTCAGTTTGTGTCGCCCCTGTAAGTTAGCCCCGCCTAGTTTTTTAAGGGGCTACGTAAGCAAGTGCAGACGTGCTTTGTAGACAGTCAGCCAAATCTCCAAAGCGACCAGTTCCATCACTCAGAGCCGACCAAAGACTCCACCCCTCCCTATGGAATTTTCATGTTAATGTGACCCAGTGATGCAGGCAATTATCTTATTCTCCCTCACTCTCCAGATTTTCTTCATTCTCTTTGGTTCTTGGTCCCTATTTGACAAGAATCTTACAATCTCATGGGTGTTAAAACCCTGAGTGCCCCTTGCATGGTTGCATGCAAACTTATTGAATGAATCGGTACTCATTTCAAAAATGTGCATGTTGCCTTTGATGGCCTGACCCTATAACTGTTTAAGTGTTCAAATGTGGAGAAGTTACTTTGATTATAATCACAATCTAACTTCTTTAAATATTAGGTTCCAAGTGTAAAATTAGCTAATGGAAATAAACAAGTTTATACATGTTTTTACAAAATTGAGAGAAAAGAAACAATCCATTAAATCTCATACCCTTGACAAGTGGCCCTTTAAGGGCTTTGGGCCTCCGCTTTGAGAGTAAGCAGAATTTGCCACCCCAAAATATGCCTTTTGGGGCATTGATTATTTTAAACTGGTTATTTTTAAGAAACAGGAATCAGGAAAAACCTTTGCTCTTTCTCCTTACTGCCTAAAAGAATTCAGATAGAGGACCTGCACCAGAAAGGGAGCTATCATCACAGATAACTATAGTTTAATATGAACTCGTGTGTGATAGACAAGGAGGAGCCTAGCAAGGCCTGTTTGATCAGTCCTCTCAGTGTCCCATTGTTAAAGATGGCCCAGCAAACATTTATTTACCAAACATTGGCTTTTCTATCTCCATGTGAATTGCCTCCCTCCCCTCTGAAGTCCCAAACCATACTCGCCCCTTTTCCTTAGCTCAAGGTGGCATATAAACCTTAACTGCCCTACCTGTGCTGGGCCTCATATTCGTATGGAACCCCACATGCACATAATAAGTTTGGTTATTTTCTTCCATTAATCTGTCTCTTGTCAATTCGACGATTAGACCAGGCAGAAGGATAGGAAGAAAATTATTTTTCCTCCCCCACAGCTTGTTATTCTCTGGCCCGCTCCCTCTCCCTCTTAATACTGTTAATAAGCAGCGAAAGAGCAACATACTGAGAATAGCAAGAATGAGGAAGGAAGACAAATGGCCTGAAAATATTCACAGTGGGATATAGGTCTGGGTTACTTCATTTCTTCATTCATACAGATCTACTATGTTGCCAGGCCCAGTTTTAGATACAGTGGTGAAGGTGGTAGAACTGCATTTCTTGCTTGCATGGTGCTTAAATTCAAGTGGGTTTGGTTACATATACATTTTTACTTTTTATTTTTAAAAATTATTTTAAAGCAGGTGTAGCTAAAAGCACAGATCCTAGAGCCAGACATCTTGGGTTTGAATCTTAGCTCTACCACTTACATTGTATGATCTTGGGAAAATCATTTAGCCTCACTGTGCCTTTATTTCCTCATTTGTAAAATGAAGGTAATGATACAGTTTGCTTCATAAGACTTGTTATGAGGATTAAATTGAATCAGTTAATATTTGTAAAGTACTTAGAATAGTACCCAGTATATATTGTCATAAAAGTGTTCACCAAATTAAAAAAGAGAAAAGAAAAACAAGCAATCATACCTATTTAATTTC